GGCCGCAGTGGACCGAGGAGCTCGCGTTCGCGCTCTTCAAAGAGCGCGCTGATCTTGGCGGGAGCAACCCGAGCGGCTCGGTCGAGCTCGAGATCCTCAAGGAGCTCAAGCACGCGCCCGTGTGGCGGTGCTCGCACCAACCCGTGGATATGACCTTCGAACGTGAGAACTACGCCTCGATCATCGAGATACGGCGCGCATTGAAGGGCTCGAAGGTCCTCCACGCGAGCAACGATATCGGGCTGTTCTGGCCAGGAGTGCTCAACCTCGTCGACTCCGAGGATGCGCGCGCGGTGGCCCGCTTTATGGAACTCGAATACAAGACCAAGTGATTGTTTTTTTAATCCCCTTCGAGGTGAAGGCCGATGACACAGACGACCTCGAGCGTCGATACAGAGACCGTGCTCCAGGATCTGGTGAACCAGTTCTCGGACCCGATGTCTTTCTTGCGCGAGCTTATCCAGAACTCCATCGATGCAGGCAGCGGCGAGATCGATGTCCGCGTCGAGTTCGCCCCCGACAAGGGTGGCGGAGACAGCGGGTTGATGACTGTTTTCGTCGATGATTTTGGCGAGGGGATGACGCGCGACATCATCGAGACAAAGCTCACGCGCCTGTTCAGCTCTGGCAAGGATGACGACTACACGAAGATCGGCCGCTTCGGCATCGGCTTCGTCTCCATCTTCGCCATCGATCCTCACGCGGTGTGCGTGGATACGGGGCGAGGCGGTGAATACTGGAGGGTGCTCTTCAAGCAGGATCGCACCTTCGATCTGATCCGCATGGATCAACCCGTCGAGGGCACGCAGATCAGGATCTTCAAGCAGATGACGAGCGCGCAGGTCGACACCTTTCGACGGCGCACGCGCGAGGTCATCACCTACTGGTGCAAGCACGTGCATGTCCCGATTTATGTCGAGGGCGAGCAGGTCAACCAGGACTTCGACATCGAGTCCGACTGCAAGATCGTTCACGAGGAAGAGGGGACGCGTGTGGTGATGGGATTTGTCGACTCATCGCAGGGGCCTTATGGGTTTTACAACCGCGGGCTGACGCTAAAGGAGGGCGAGGAAGGAGAGTGGCCGCATATCGCGCTCAAGATCGACTCGCGCTACCTCGAGCACACGCTCACGCGCGACCAGGTCCTCAAGGATCGCCACTATCACAAGGCTCATCGCTTGCTCGAGACGATGGCCACCGAGCAGCTCCCCGAGCATCTCCTGACGCTCCTCGAGAAGAAGGCGAAGGGGGTCCGCGCCGTGGAGGATGACGCGCACGCATCCCTGCTATGGCACCTCGTGCGGTGGGTGCGCAGCAAGGGAAATTTCGAGCAACGCCGACGCGAGATCATCCCCACGCTCTACGCGCAACCTGTCTCGGTCCACGAGTGCGGGCGACGTCAAAAGAAGGGAGAGTTCCTCGTCGCGCCGAGGCGCACACACCTCACGGACGCGCTCCAACCGCAGCACCTGATCGTGGTGGCCGAGCCATCGACGGTCAATGACCCGCTCTGGGCCTTGCTCTCCCTGTGCCTCGATGCTCGCCCGAGGATCGTGAACGACGTCTGGGTGCTGCCCACGACGAGTCTTCAGGATCGCGCGCCGGGCGCCGACGCGCTCAAGCAAAAGCTCGCGAGCCTTATCGGCGGTCTCGGCGGCGCGTGCGAACAGATCGTGTTGATGGACTTCGACTACCTGGAGTCTGGACGCTCTCCGATCCGCGATCGCCTCGGGTTATGCGCCAACTCGGTGGAGCAGCCGTTGCTGTTGGAAGAGCTCGCGCCGATGAATCGAGCGCAGCTCGTCAAGACGAGGGTGCTCGCGATCAACGCTTCGGACGAGCGCGTCATCAAGCTCGTCGAGCTTGCCACCCGCGAGCCTGAATGGGCCGCGTTCACGCTTTGTAAGATGCTCTTGCTCGAAGAGGGGTTGCGCGCAGAGGATGACGCCGCGCTCGTGACGCGCGCGATCCTCGAGCGCAAGGATCGCCATCGTCTCTCAGGAGGTCGCTCATGAATCAACTCGATGACCTGCTCGCGGGGCTCTCCGCTGAAGGCGCGCTCGAGGCGCGCCGTGAGTTCCAGATCGACAGCGCCAAGGCCCGAGAGAAGCTGCAAAAGTTCCAGCTCGAAGATCCTCACTTCTACGTGCTCGAGCTGGTACAGGCTGCGCACTTGCTCGGCGCGACCGAGATCCGTTTCACGATCGACGCCGACGAGATGGAGGTGTTCTTCGATGGGGATGCGCTCACGCGTCTGGAGCTCGAGGAGCTCTACTCCGCGGCGTTCGCGAAGCTCACGGACAGGCGCAAGCAGGCGATGCGGCACCTGGCCATCGGCTTTAACGCCGCGCAAGCATTGCTCCCCTCGAAGATCGAGCTCCAGGTGGCCGAGGACGTGAACTCGGGGTCGCTTCTGCTCGTCTCGCGCCCGGGGCAGGAGCGCGACGAGATCACCGAGGTCGAAGGTCCAGCGGGGTTTGTAGGCACCCGCGTGTACCTGCGCGAGAGCTTTCGCACAGGTCACCTGGTCGAGTTCTTTCATAACCTGAAGGGGAGCCTGGCCGAGAAGACCGCGCTGCGCGAGCGCTGTTTATATTCGCATATCCCGGTGTTTCTCGATGGCGAGCAGATCTCCACAGGGCATCAGCTGCCAGAGGACGTGCTCGGCGCGCACCCGTTCAGGACCGAGCAGGAGCGAGGGATGTTGGGGATTTACCCCAACAGGTCGGCGAGCACGCTCTCCATTCTCCAGAACGGCGTGCTCGTGACGACCGTTCATGCCCCGAGCGGGATCGTGAACACGGTCGCCGTGGTGGATTCTCGACGCCTGAACAAGAACCTCTCGCAGAGCGCCTTTGTCGAGGACAAGCAGTGGTCGTATTTGCTCGGTCAGGTGCTGCGGCTCGAGATGTATGAGGCTCTGGCGCGCTACTTCGAGGAGGTTTACATCATCGATTCCAGGGGGGTGTTCAAGGCTGCTCCTGTCGATTGGGTGGTCGATATTATCCATACGATCGCTGCCGAGATTCCGCTGTATCGTGAACGCTCCATCCCGCTCCCCGCTCAGACCGTGCGCCTTATCGAGCTGCTCGAGCGCTGGCAGTGCATCCAGCTCTCGCACAAGCTCGAAGATGACTCCATCGCGTCCGAGGAGAACAAGATCTCGATCGGGCAGCTCCGTGAATTACTCGGCGACCGCCGCACGATCACCTTCAGCGTGCTCTGCTTCGACAAGCTCGAGGCGGAAGCGCTCTCACCGGTGATCCTTGGCAATGACTCGACGATCGATTGGTTGCGTCAGTGGTTGGGGTTCCCGCTCAAGGACGTGAGCGTACAACTGAATACGATGAACCACCGTCGTATAAACTACGAGCGTTGGCAGTCACAGCCGTTGCGCTCTGGAGCGTTGCTCGCGACGCGATATCGCATCCGGGTGCCGTTCGATTGCGGTGATGGTGTCGAGGGCGTGTGGGCGATCGATCCTAACGAGTGGAGTAACGCATACACGACCTCCCATTCCGGCTGCCGGATCACCTTTATCAAGGATGGTCGCGTCTTCTCGAGGCGCGAGTTCGATGCTCCGTTCTTCAAGGGGTCGAACCTCGTCTTCAAGGGGGATATCGAAGCGAACGATCTCTTCGATGGCCCTCGAGAGGACGCGGCGATGTTCGCGCGCTACCTCATCGCGCTCGAGCACTTCGCGATCCTTCTCGACAAGCTCGCCGGATACCTCAATGAGGTTGGTTTTAACGACTACGGATATGGCTACTTTCTCTCGTTGATCAGCGCGCAACTCTCCAAGGATCTGGCGCGGCAGCTGCTCGACGATATGGGCGTTCCGGCGCGCGAGTTTCCACAGGAGCTCGCGCAGTGGAAGATGAGGCAGCAGCGACAAAAGACCTTGTGGGGGTTAAAGCAGGAGGTGTTGGTGGACCGTGCCGGGCGCATCGAGGCGCTCGGTGCCATGGCGGATATCCCATTCTACGAGGACTTCGAGGGCGACCGATGTTCACTGCGAGAGATCGCCAGTGAGATCGACGCTCACGGTAAGATCGGGGTCTACGATGGCACGATCACGCCCACGTTGAGAGAAGACTGGGACAGGGCCGAGCTCGATCAACGCGTCTATCTCATCGGGCGAGGGCTCGAGAGCTCGGTGCTCAGTCAGGTCGTCAGCGCGCGCTATTATCGTTACATGGGGCAGGTGATCCGGCGCCATGCGTTGGCCAACCGCTACCTGGATCGAGACGAGGTTCCTGTCGCGCTCTCATCACGAGTCCCATTCGTTCTGGAAGGGGATTACGCCTATGGGCAGAACCGAGGTGTCTTCGGGTTGGTGCCCGCGATCACCGCGCCGGGGTTGCATGTGGGCGTCAGCGAGCCGAAGGCAAGGCCGCTGATCAAGGTGAGGGTGCTCTACAAGCAACGTCTGCTTCAGGAGCTGGAGCTCGAGGTGGCGATGGGGCAGTTCCACGTCGTGCTCGACGCGATGGGGATCAACCCGAACGCCTCGTGGGATGCTGTGTTGGAGGATAGCAACTGGTTGCTGCTGGTGAAGAACCTGAGAGAGCACGCCGCCGCCACGTTGCGCGCGCGCATCTCGGACCTCTCATCGCGGCTCACAGAGCTCGACTCCTACGAGTACTTCGAGCTCTGGATCTACCTCTGGCAGGCCCATGTCGCGCGTTTCCCTGGGGGGCGCGAGTACTTCTCGGATATGCGGAGGGTGCTCACCGAGCTCGCGGTCTTCGTGCTCCATGATGGGAGCAGGATTTATTACCCCGAGCTCTCGAGTCTGGTGCACAAGAGGCGCGAGCTGTACGTCGTCAAGAAGGGCGAAGAGGTGCTCGATGCGCTGCTTCCGACGGGGCACGAGGTCAAGATCCTGGTGGTGCCTGACTTACCTGAGAAGCACCTCGAGTACTGGCTCGGCGAGTTCATTGATAACAAGCACCTGCGCGTGATCGATGTGACCGACACGAGCGAGGCAAAGCAGGCGCTCGAGCACGCTCGAGCATCCTACATGAAGCGCTCCGAGCTCGCGTTGGAGCTCCCTGCCAAACCGGACGAGGTGATCTTCGATGTGGAGATCGAGGGGAGCAAGAACATCCGGGGACGGATCGGGATGCTCTTTGATCCGAGGCCGATGGATAGCTACCCAGGCGTCGCGATCGAGGTCCTGGTGCATCGCAGGCGCGCGACGACGACCTCGCAGGAGCTCTTCCTCGGGAGGTTCACGTCGCGCATCGAGAGCGATGACGTCATCCTGGCTGGTGACTACGAAAACGTCATCCAGGACGAAGACTATCGACAGGTCTTGAGGGATGTGAGCGTGATGACGCAGAACGCGTTGATCGCACACCTCGAGCGGCACATCGAGGAGGGGTGGATCGCGTCTCCAAAGGAGCGCGAGCTGTTCGAGTCCTATCTGGTGCGCGTGAGCCAGATCCGAACGCCGTTGTCGCTAGGAGCACAGCAGATCGTGACGTTGCTCAGGGAGCTGCCGCTCTTCGAGCTGCTCGATACGTCCAGAGGGCGTAGGCTCGCGACTGGCCCTGCGGATAAACCACCGTTCACGAGCCTCGACGAGCTCAGCTCGGTGACTGGCGAAGCCTTTATCTGGGTCGATAGCAAGATGGGGCGCGAGCGGATTCCTGATGAGCTGGACAATCCTGTGGTGGTCGTCCGGGATATGACGCATCGCAGAAAGCTTGGCCCGGTGCTCGATCGTCTTCATATCCCGGACCTCGCCAATCATATCCGCAGGGTGGAAGAGGATCGTCGTAAGGCGGAAGAGCGAGAGAGGAGGCGCCTCGAGCACCAGGCCGAGCGCGAGCGAGCAAAGGAGCGCGAGCGCCTCGAGCGCGAGCGTCTCGCCAGGGAGGCCGAGCGCAGAGCCCAGAACAGCGCCGCCAAAGAAGCGCTCGCCGAGCAACGAAGAGTCCGAGAGCAGCTCCGTCGGTCTCAGCTCGAAGAGGATGAACGAGCCCTCCAGGGGGATGGTAAGGATAAATCTGTCATCGTCTCCAATGATATGCCCTCCGTGGTCGTGGATAAGGCAAAGGAGCGAGAGCTTCGAGCCAACCTCGTGTCAGGAGAGGGCGCCACTGGTGCATCTGGTGGGCGACGCGATACGGGGGAGTTGTTTACCGTGCGCCAGCGCGGGCCTGCGACGCCAAACCCGGCCCTGTTCTCAGGGGAGAGCTCGACGCAAAATCCCGAGCAGGTTCCGGCGCCAGCGCCTGAGCCAGAGCCAGCGCCGCCAGATCCTGCGGAGTTGCTGCTCGAGGATGTCATCGCGCAGCTCAAGCGGGTGAGAGGAAATCGCTCGGACCTGGTGGGTGATCCGATCCTCTCGAGGTTGAGCGTGATCGATCGTTTGCCGGGGGATGTGGTCGCTGACGTGAGCAAGAGCGATGTGAAAGTATCCAGAGCGCATATGGCGATGTGTTACGCGCTCGAGGTCTCTGATGATCCTGTGGCCCTCGCGTTCCTCTCTTCGAGCGTGTATTCGGCGATCAACCTCTACTACGAGAAGATCACGGACGCGGACGAGTTGGTGTTCCAGGAGAGGATGTTGTCGGCGTTGCTGGAGAGTTCTCATTGACCTTTGGTGGAAATGATCCCAGAGTCTCGCTGCTGAACATTTGGGCTGTGCTTTCGTGCATGGCGCGTATAGTGTAAGAAGATCGAACAAACGCTCGAGCACGGGCCCAGGGAATGGGCCGCGCTCGCGTCGAAATACACGCGGGAGGTCGCAAGTCATGGCAGGCAAGATGGACGAAGTGCGCGAAGAGCAAGAGATAGAAAGCGTGGAAGAGCTCCCCGAGAACGTGATCCGAGTCGACTTCGGGAGCCGCCGATCAGATGTGGCCTCTGCAGCTTCTGCGACCATGTCGATGGCCGAGGTCGAGGAGCTGATGCCCTACGACGCGAGCCTGATCCCCGATGATCCGTTGGCGAGCAAGAAGTTCGGGATTTTCTGCAAGTACATCGACAACGGGATGGTCTCGGTCACGCTCGACCCGCGCATCAAGGGCGTGAGCGTCCCGGCACACTTCGCCGACCGCTCCGAGCTCGTGCTGAACTTCTCGCATCGCTTCTTCATCGACGACTTCACCTACGACGAGCGCGCCGTGTGTGCGTCGCTCTCGTTCTCCGGGCGCCCCTACTTCTGCGTGGTGCCATGGGCATCGGTCAAGATGTTGCTCAGCCACCACGACAACGCCGTGGCTGTGTTCGACGCGGACATGCTCTACTAAAAACAACA